TGGGAATATCATGCAACACTTGAGAACATGAGCTCAAGTGAACAAGCCAAATATTGTAACATTATCTTCTGAAGGCTGGCAGAAAGGTACTTACTCTATTAAATTATCTGCTAAAGATGATCACAAGTTTGATTCAAGAGGGGCTGTGAAAGGACCATACTACTCAATGTCAATTTCATGTGATGTCTTAACATGTATTTTTAGTTGGGTTAACATATATCTGGTGAATCCAAGCATGCAGAAAGAGAATTCCCAAAGGGAATAGTGGATGAGCCATTCAATGGCGGGGATGTCCATGGCCCACCAAGACATTCCACATGCACCAGCTAGATAACCTCAATTCAACAGATATTATGACAAAGTAAATTTTCAACCTGGTGAATAATTTAAAGTTGATGCTCAGGGGTGTCTATGTTAATTTTTTGTTAGCGTATATATGATATTAATAATATATGAGCTGCTTCTACTATTTGTAATTTAGTATTCAACAATGGAGCGATATAATCTATTACAAACAAGAAGATATATAATTGATAGTTCTCTCACCTTGAATAGAAAAGAATAAAACTTCAAGATTGCAAGTCTAACACAATCAAGAATATCAAAATCAAAGTTCTATCAATTATATATCATTTCTGAAAAAAATAACAACAGAAAAAAGATAAATGTTTCAATAATTATATTAAAAGTGTGAATGAAGTAGAATATCATTTCTTTCTATAACATTTCCAAGTCTCACCTGCTCCAATCCCAGAAAATATTTTTAAGGCTAAACAATTTGATTGGGATGAAGATATTCTGCTAAATCTTAAATAATTGTAATATACATGCAACTAAAAGCATTTAGACGCATAGAACTATTCCCTTAATTAGTTTGAATCCTGACAAACCAAAAGGAGAACAAAAGTTCATGAATTCAGGGAGTTGTGTGAAATTTACTCTTTTAAACTTTCAAGTAGTTCTGTAGATTTCTCAAGTTAAGGGAGCGTACAGATTGTATAAGTGGAGTTTTGGTCAGACCCGGAGCAACGCAATTGGTTCGAATATTATCCTTTGCCCATTCAAAAGCCAGATTCTTCGTAAGCTGGTTCATTGCCCTTGCAAGAGGTAATATGTGGTGGCTGAAACAATCAGATACTCTTTGCTCAAGATTTACTAAGAAACCGTACCTTTATATGCGTAACAAGAGGGCAGATTATGGCGTAGCCTTGACGGCGGACGCTGAAGACATCTGAACAATGCTGCCCGCTCCTGACGCCTTGAGGAGAGGGTAGGCTAGCTGGCTGATGCGAAAACCAGACTCGAAGTTGGCGGACATCAGGGCCGAGTAATCTTCGATGGTGTAGCCTACGGCCGGCTTCATGAGGAGTGTTCCTGCATTGTTGATGCCGCGAATCGAATAGATCGGAGCTGGGACCTGTCGCTGGGTCTACCGATGCTCTGGGGAGCCGTTAGGGTTTGAGAGAAGGAAGCAAGAGCGCCGACGAATCGATGGAGCAGGACGAGGATGCGGTGAATCGATGGAGGCGGTGGAGAGAGAGCGCCATCGAAGATGAGGCAGAGGTGCGTTGGCCGTCGAAGATGAGGGGGAGGCGAAGATGATGGGTAGATGAGGGAGGTGGAGGTGGATTTGAGAGCGTGCGGTCAGAATTTTTTGGGATAAAATATTTGGCGCTGGGTGAAAAATTGGGGATGAGGGGTTTGAGAGATTGGGGTTAGGGATTTTAGAGGGGGTGGGATTTTTGGATTTTGGGGAAATTTTTGGGGGGAAGCGCGTTAAAAAAGAGAACTGAGAAAAATATATGTTTTATTTGGGATATATTTAGAGCAACAAATTTTAGACTATGTATTGAATATGTGATTATTTTATGTAGCTATAATTAAATATTCGATAGATTAATAAATTTTTTTTAAAAATTTATTTATTATTTTTTTGCAATTTAAAAATATTTTTAAACTCATTAATAGGATTAAAAAGTAAAAACAAATTAGAAGATAGTGGTTAAGAAATATTTTCTTTTAGTTCGGGGAAAATGAAATAAACTAATAAAAAGTGATAAAGATATATAACATGTGATTAATTTTAAACGAATATTTAATAGACAAACGAATCGAATATACATATGGTCAAATTCTAATCGTTAGCAAACTCGAATATTAAAAAAATATTTGTTTAGTGCTAAATGAACTACCGAATTGAATGACTGAATAGTTATTTCGAACAATTATCTAACTAGAATCTACTGACATGGTCTTCAGGTAAAAGTTTTGTAGAAATATCTGTAAATTGTTGATTAGTGGAGATAAAGTCAAACTAAATGGTAAAAAACACGACATCATATATGTAAAATACAAATAATAACTAGTGATCAATTTTAAATGAATATTTGATAGACAAATGAAATCGAATATAGATTTGGTCAAATTCTAATCGTTAGCGAGCTCGAATACTAAAAAATAAATTTTAAAAATAAAAAATAAAAATAAATTTTAAAACTAACATAGATTCTGTTAGCATAAAGAATAGTAGAGCTCATCAAATCTGCTAGCATAAAGAGTAAAGAGTAGTAGAGCTCACCAAATCTGCTAGCATAAAGAGTAAAAAATAAAAATTAAAACTAACATAGAACTCCTAATTAATTGAAAAGAGCTATGATAAGTTTTGGTATATTATTAGCAATTTACATAATTTGTTGGACTACTTTTAAAATATTATAGATTTGAGGGACTAATATTAAAATAATTCTTAAGGTTAAGATTGTGGGGGCCACTCATTAACAATGGGATAATCAATCACTAATGTTATATTTTTTACCATGGGCACATTAGCATTGGCGACAGATCAAATCCATCTTCAATACTTATTGGCGACGAATTTAATCCGTCGCCAATGGTTCCCGTCGCCAATACTTATTGGCGACGGATTTGATCCGTCGCCAATGTTTTCCCGTCACCAATAAGTATTAGTGACGGGAAACATTGGCGACGGATTAAATCCGTCGCCAATACTTATTGATCCGTCACCAATAAGTATTGGCGACAGATTCGATCCGTCGTCAATACTTATTGGCGACGGATTTGATCCGTCGCTAATACTTATTGGCGACGGATTTGATCCGTCGCCAATACTTATTGGCGACGGAATTGATTCGTCACCAATCTTTCCCGTCGCCAATACTTATTGGCGACGGGAAACATTGGCGACGGATCAAATCCGTCGCCAATGCAAACATTGGTGACGGGGTTGTTCCCGTCGCCAATGTTTGTATTGACGACGGATTTCAAATCCGTCGCTAATACCCCGTCGCCAATGCCCAGTTTTTTACTAGTGTGTTCAGGATCTTTTTAGGGCAGAGAAAATAGTAGTAAACAATTGCCTGATCAATTTCTCAAGCGGAATGTATGCTGCAGAAGAGCAGAAACCTCTCATCCCAATCCCCAGTTCGTAGCGCTTGGTGTCCCCTCCTTCTCACCGCTGTCGCTGCCACCTCTACCACAAGGTCCACAACTGACAACTCTCTCACATACACACGCAGGGCGCGCGCACACACACACTATTCCTCCTCTCTTTTTCACAACTCAATGCTGGTGAGCTCATTTCCATCTCCTTCCATCCATAATTCTCTGTGTCATTTCTCAATCTCAATACCACTCAATTTCCTCTCTTTTCCCTCTCCGGCTCAAACACCAATTTGCGGCCACCACCTCAGTCTGCCGCCACCGGCTCATTCTATCATCAGTGGTATTGTCTGTTCTCTTCCAATCACCTCCTCTAACCTCTGTATCAACGCCAAGTGCACTTAATGTTAATGCTTGACAGTTATTGCTTATGTCATCATTCATCGATCTCCTAATTTCAGTTCACCCAACCGTTCTGCCCTCTCCTGAAGGTTCTCAGACCGTCTTTGGTGGACATTCTCCTAATTTCAGTTCACCCAACCGTTCTGCCCTCTCCTGAAGGTTCTCAGACCGTCTTTGGTGGACAAGCAATAACATAGTTATAATACTTTCGTTCTGCCCTCTCCTGAAGGTTCTCAGACCGTCTTTGGTGGACAAGCAATAACATAGTTATAATACTTTTATATTAGAAGTTGCAGGACACAAAGCAATTTTCTAGATCCTTATCATATCATAGCATGCATTGGAAAGGATGAAAATTTGACCAATTGCCACTTTGTCTAGAAGCTAATTGGGGTTAGATTCTGAGCTGGATAATTTGTTCAGGGAGGTATACATCCTCAGATTTACTTTCGGTTGTTTCTGTTATGCTTGGCGTCCTATAATGAACCTGGTTTCCTACCATACGAAACTCATACTGTGTGTTTTTTATTTTTTTATTGTCTATTATAGTCAATTAAAAACCTTCGTGCACAGTGACATGGATGTATTTTGCATACGTTTCATTATTTTCCCTCCATTAAAGATGTTATCGCTTATACTAGTTGCTATAAAGGCTCATTGAAGATTAGTTCTTTCTTTATTTTGTTTTTGATTGATTTGAATAATGATCTCAAACAACTTCAAACTGGAAGTTGAAAGATTTTTCGTGCATATGAAGTATTGTGTCACATTTTATTATGGTTAAAACTAAAAATGAGGTGCATGTTATTATGAACCCTGTGGGTGAATTTTTCTGTTTCTAAGTAAGATTATTTCAGGAAAAGAAACTTGGAATTGATCCAAATTAATGGATTAAGTCTCGAATAGAATGTTGGCATGATATATTCATGTGATTTCAGGATGCTCTTTCTACGCAGGGTGCTCTTTCTACCCACTTAGTATCAGTTCAAATTAATTGCAATATAAGCACTCGTTTCACTTAGTGATAGTTAATACTGCTCCATCTAGTATTTTTTTACCTCTCTGTTGTGTAGCACGTGATAACTGCTTCAGTGACTTTTTTAGTCAAAATTTTCTACATATTTATAGATTATTGTGGATGTTTCTTTAATATTTTCATCATTGATATCTATAATATAATATTCTTGCATTGTTTTTAGGCTTTAGACTGGTTAAAATCCAATTATTGGGAGCCTCAAAGAAGTGTAATTCCTGACGTTCGGAAGGAAGTAAGATTGAGACTACATGAGATGAGTTTTTATCTGAAAAATAAGCATGCAGAAAGGTCTAGTTCTTCACAAGGCAAGCCAAAACGTGAGTATAGATTGTTGTGTAAGGAGCACTTAGCTTCTAGGAAGCGTTTAACCATCAAGTTTCATTGTTGACTAGTTCATTATATTTTAATCTATATTGTTCTTTTGTTGTTTGTTGTGAATACATGCTGTTTACATAATTTTAGGTCTGTAACGGAAAGATGTGCTCTGGATTGAAAGAGTTACACTTAAGAACAATGTTTTAAATTTGATTATTGTTCTCATATCTTTTCTTGCTAATCTATGCGAAAGGGCTTGTAATATCACTCTCTACAGGCACTGGAACTAAGATTCATTCTTTAAATGGCAAATACTATGGATCACAGTGTATATGTACCTGCTTAAACGGCTTAAACCCGTGTTGGAAATTAGTGATTTGGGTTGTTATTATCTCAAAGTAGGTTGATTGACATCATTTACATATATAATTCTCCGGGGGGTGGGGCCAGTTCGGGCAGTCAGGCCTGGCGGCCGGGCCGGGGTTAACGGGCTGCTAGCGCGATTTGCGAGCCTGGGCGGAGGGGGGGGGTAGGGGGGGTGTTGCAGTCTCCAGCTTGAGCAGGTTGCCGGTCTTGTCCGGGATGCTGGCCGTAGTTGATCTTCTCAATTATGTATCTACATTTATTTGAAAGAGAAAAATCCTAGAATAAAGTTGGAACTTTATAAGATGGATGGGTATATATCTGAAACTTCAAAAGCATTTACAGCACGGAAATCCTAGTGATATCCTATCTAATGTTGCCCCTAGAATCACATGATTCCTATATTCAACTAGCCGGACAACAACTTAAGGTCGGGAAAGTCTGGCCTGAAGTATATTAGGCGTCAAGTTATATTAGATGCAAAATGAGAAAGAATATCTAACATGCTGCACTTTATCGTAGTTCTAGAAAGAAGATGCATAAAAGCTACGGGATGTCATAATAGATCATTGAGACTATTCTATGTTCATGGTTCCGACATGCTACATTTTTTTCGCTAGTTTTTTTCAGGAGTTTCACTTTAAATTTTTTACTATATCAGAATGTAAACGGCTGCTAGATGTGTTTGGTTTCATACTATCTTTATGTTAATCTTTCTGTTTTGATTTTCCATTTATTTGTGTTTGAAGGTTGTAAGCGGTCAGGAGTATTAATGAGATGCAACAAACTATCTTCACAGCTTGTTGGGAAACTGCAGGCCTCAAATTCTGATGGTACTGCAATTAATCTTTTGACCATATTTACCTATTAGAAAACAAGATTATTCTAGAGTATCTGACATGGGACATCCACAATTTTTTCTTCAAGCATTCAGATGGCATTATCACAGTGAATCAGGACGTTTGATTCAGTTTCTGCAAAGCCATAGAGGATTTCTTTGTCCAAACTCTAGTTGTGATCATGTTTTTGGATGTTAAAATCTTTACTTACTGATTTTATCTTGGAATTGTGTGCACAACACTTTCCTTGACAAGGAGATTGTTATAAATCATGATGTTATAAATCATGCTTTCATTCTTTTTTCTCTTGGAGAAGTGGGATATCCTCAGTAACATGTTTGCACTATCAAGCTTTTCTGTCCAGATTAACAAGTGGGGCCAGTCCTCTGATTGAGGCTGCGATGCATCTTATATTTAGGGGATTGGAGTCATGATGCCATATAGATTGGCTATCTGAGATGTGTCATAATAAATTTTGTAGCACAGTTTAATTTCTTTAGATTGGATTTTCTTAGATATGATAGATTAAATACTAATTTCATAACAGGACGATTAAACTGTAGTTGGTGCCTGAATTGCTGTTTCGTCGTTTGCATCAAATAAATGAACTTGAGAGGCTGATATTACACCTTTAACTCACTATTTAAAGCTTTACCTTCATATCAAACTACATAAATATCTACTAGTAGGCAAGTTTTCTATACTTAGTAGATAAACTTAGTACCATTATCTTTTTATGCTATATTTGCAACTGGTGTTCTAGCGTTTCTTGTTCACTGTTGACATCTTGATAAGCTTAAAATACATTCACAGCTTCTTTTTCATATTTACATTGAAAGAAGACAAAGTAGTATCATTGGTGTGGATGCTGATAGACTATTTTTTGTGCAGTCTCCGACAAACGGCTTTCCAAGATAACAAAAAGAATCACTCGGCTATACTCTTCATATCCCTCAGAAGTTGTAGCAGTGCTTTTGGAGTATTTCCATTTGCAAGTGCCTGATTTCTCAAAGGGCACGAACATGGAATGCTCTGATGATTTGAATGTGGATGATTCAGGACCCCATTTAGAGACAGTGTTCGGTTTAAAGACAATAATTACCAAACTATCAAGTAAGACACCTGGGTTAATACTCAGCTTACTGAAGACTCTCCTAGAAATGATAGAAGCCAAGGAATCCACTCAATCTGAGAAAGGTATTTATATGAATAATTCCCTCTTGAGCTTACCTGATGAGTCTCTTGGTCTTGTTACTCAATTATATCCCACATAAGTTTTAGTTAACCATGCTATTTTCCTACTGTAGTGTGACCTGTTTAGAACAGTTTCATGTTTTTTGCAGCTAGTCAATAATTACAGCTTTCAATTTTCATGCAACTTGTTCTCTTCACATAGCTACCTACTTTTTCTCTTTGAGACCCTATTCAGTTCTTTGGATCTTTCTTCCAAAGCATTTCTTCAAACTTTTTTGACCTAAGCAGGTTTTACACTGAGAAAAAGAAAACAAGACACAATTACTTATTTTGTTTCTTTTCCTCTCTGGGTTCTTTCTTTGAACTTTCTGGTCAACCAAATATAGTAATAATCTTATCTGTTTGGAAATCGATGACTATTCAAAGTGGCTAATTTTCAGCACTTCGTTTTTTCAGATGGATGCTGTTTTCTTTCATCGAAGCACCAGAGCGAGATAGCTGACACCAATCGTCTCTGTTCTCTTGTTCACTGGCTTCTCATGCGACTGAAATCTTTGAAGGATTCTGGTAGAATAGGAATTATTGGCAAATCCCTCGAAACCTCAACAGACAAACATGCTTCTCCAAATGTTTCGCTAACAAAACTCCTTCACAAGGTCCTGTCTCAATCAATTGTGGACGACAATCACCTCTCAAGCTCAGTATTGCTTCTTGCTCAAATGATTGGCAACACTTCTTTAACTTTAAAACTGAAGAAGCTCCCTTTGATGGCAACGCAACACCAAGATTTCGAAGATGAATCTCCCTTTGAAAGTTCACTGAAGAAGCTCCCTTTGATGGCAACGCAACACCAAGATTTCGAAGATGAATCTCCCTTTGAAAGTTCCGAGAAAATGCTTTTACGAGAGGAGGCATGTGTTAAACAAGCAAAAGAGAAGCTGGAGCTTTTCAAGTCACAATTAAGGAACCGAAATGCTACAAATTCAACAAAATCAAATGCAAGCGATCGAATGTGGAGCGTTGCTAAATCTTGGACTCCATGTCCAATTGGCATGGTACCTTGTTCATTTAGTTCTACTGCAGTTCTTCCTGTTGTTGATGAGGTTGATGATACCTTAGACCCCGAAGACATTGAAACAGATACAGGTAATTTTGTGAATGGCCGTGTTTCTCCGAAAAGAGTATCAGGTGAAGCTGCTGTTGACAGTGGAAGTGGCAGTAAAAGGCAAAGGATGACGAGAGAAGAACAAGAATTGGATTTTGCAGAGATATCGTCTCCTATGAAAGATAGATTGTTGATTAATGGCATTTGGACGAAAGTTAGTGAAGAAGAGTTGCTTGATATTGAGTCCAATATCAGAATTTTTGTCAATTGACTGTAAGATTATATTGTAACTTATATAATTATTATGATAGGCAGATATCTATATATTTTTTATTTGGAAAGTTCTGTTTGGCTGTTGTGGTAGTAGGGTTAAAAAAAAGGGACTTTCTAGGCTAGTTTCATTGTTTAAAAAAAAAGGGGAAAAACTTGATCTCTGCTTGGTCTTTAATATTTTGAATTCCTTCATTCTGTTTCAGAGATAAAAGTCAGGCGAAAATGTTATTAGAAAAGAAACCAAAAGTAATTATATGCCTTTCTGTTAGGGGAAAGAAATCTTCCATTTTTAATTTCGAATAAGGTAGATTATATATAACTTTTGTCATCTACGTTTTAAAGTAGTACTTATTATTCTTCAACTTGTTCTTTTTTTTTAATCCCTTCTTCTTGTGCCTTCATAGGCTTTAATATTTATCATCCCTGAATTCACGAGGAAAAGGGAGGTTTTATTTGTAATTTATTCCTCTCCAGTATCAATTTCAAAAAGCAACTAGCGTTAGTAAAACAGCTTTAGAATAATAAACAACAGTTTTATTAAACGATCACAGATAAAGATTTTCTTTTTGAAATTTCTAGATGATAAAGTTATAAAACAATATTAACATAAAAAAAAGTTAATTTTTACCCTAACCTTTATTTTTAAAAATTGTTATTTAAAAATTTGTTTTTATTGGAAAAGGTTGTTTAGATATTATTAGTCCCTCATATCTTTCATGAACAATTTTTCAAAATTTCAATTTTTTTTAAATCGACCCTTTTTTTATTTAACAAAACCGATCCGATTTTTTAATTAGCAGCTTAACCACCTTCCTAAACAGTCGGGGTTGCCGACCCCGACTATTTAGGAGGGTGTTAAACCTTAATTAGAAGCCTTAAACCCTAAAAATTAATATCCTAAATAGCCGGGGTTACCGACCCTGACATTTTAGGAAGGTGATTAAGCTGCTAATCAAAAAATCGGGTCGGTTTTGGTAAATAAAAAAAAAGGGTCGATTTTAATAAAAAAAATTGAAATGAGACTGAAGTGAAAAATTGTTCTATCTTCCATATTAGTCCATCAAATATGGGTTTTGAGCCGAAACATAAGTTGAGCGTCATTTTCCGAGAAGCGTGTCATTTTCCGAGAAGCGTTATAGAAAATTAGGAACTTGTAAGCAATTCCAATAGATTTGAGGGTCTATGTGAAATCATTGAAGGACGAATTTCCTAATAACTCTAAAAAGAAATGTCCTATTTGAGTAAAACTCACTCTCCCGAGTCCCGCTGGTACGTGGCCATCATCTACAATTCTTCTTCAGATCTTCTCCTCTCAAAAATGCCGATCTTCAAAAACCCTACCCCTAAATCCAAACTCACCATCCCCAAATCCCTCCTCCTCTCGATCTCCACCATCTCCATCGTCCTCCTCCTCCTCTTCTTCTCCTCCTCCTCTTCAATCCCCACGTCTGGATACTCGATCTCAAGCGATCCCGCCATGAGTTCTATAGGAATCGAGCAGAAGAACGATGAGACGTTGAAGTGGAAGGGGAAGAAGTTCTTGTATTGGGGGAATCGGATCGATTGCCCTGGTAAGCATTGTGATTCTTGCGCGGGGCTAGGGCATCAGGAGTCTAGCTTGCGGTGCGCTCTCGAGGAGGCCTTGTTTCTCAAAAGGTTAGTTTTTTTTAATTTGATTTGCGAAATTAGGATTGTAATTATGTAGTGTGAGGTTGCTGCAGAAAAAAGCGCATGTCTTTATATTTAGTTGGAGCATTTGAAGAACTAGCACATCACTAGAAGATAGCTTGAGATGAAGGGAACCAAAATGTCTATTAAACTCACATTAGCTCACCATTTAGTTTACGTCGAACATCACAATATCGGAATCACCCCTTTGGCTTAGCAGCAGACTAGTGCAGAATAAACACTGCCCATCGACAGGACAACTTGCAATCTGTTAGAGGTAGCAAGCGCAAATCTCTTATAAACCCACACGGCTTCTCGCTTAGTCAATGTGGGGCTAAGTGGACCCTAACAGTTTTTAGCAGGTTGCAAAGAAAGATTTTTTTATTATTAAAGAAAATAGATGGGATCTTAACAAGATCCCAGCTAGTATCTAAAGATTTAATCCTATGGAATGTCATGTACATGGTTAAATATTTGCACCACAATAAATCAACTTACTTCACATAAACCATCTTATTATTAGGAACCCTCATATCAGCAATACATAGACATACTGTTACAAAAAAGAAATGTATGATATTTTTTTCATTTGGAGAAAGAATGTACATTGTTATGGTGCGAACTGAAAACCCGTTTATTGGAAATGTCTGCTCGTTATTTTTTATTCAAATTTCATTTGTTTGGTCTGGTGAAAGTGGTATCAGCTGAAAGAACTCATTTCAACTGTAAGCAAGAAATGGCCACATCCGAACTTCTTCTACATCAAAAAATAAAATGAGTGAACTGCAATCAAGGTCTTGGGTTGGAATGTGCAACGAAGGCAATAAGTGGACTGGTTAGGAGTGATAGGATCATAGTCGATTAAGAAACAATGACTAGATGTAGGTGTTATTGAACACGGAGGGATTCATCGGTAAAGACACCATGGTTGTTATTTCAACCAAAGAGATGACTTTTATCATAAGTAATGATTTAAAATTTTCTCGTAGCTTTCCCGTAAATTTCAAGTTAAAAGGCTTTGTTGTTGTTAGGTACGCATTTTCACATTTTGCAAAGGATGATCAGGTTATTTGTTAAAGGACTATAAGTATGAAATATGTGTATACTTGTGGATAAGAAGATTTTATTATGAAATATGACCAGTTAAGATCATAGGTGGAAATTTGAGGTGCATATATATTTCCTTCTTATATTTATAGGAATTTTTTTTGAAGGATGTGTATGGGTCTTCGTAGGCACACTATTTTCTCTCACTAGATACGGTATTAGCGGTCCTGATAAATGCTACGTCAAGGTGTAGTTTCATTTAATTCCTTACTGTTTTCTCTCACTAGGTACGGGATTAGCGGTCCTGATAAATGCTACGTCTGGGTATAGTTTCATTTAATTCCATTAATTAGACTGGTGGTTTTGCTGCTCGTGCTTATTTTGGTGGAATATTTAGTAGGTAATTTCTTATTTTTATCTCAATCTGGTGGTTTTGCTGCTCGTGCTTATTTTGGTGGAATATTTAGTAGGTAATTTCTTATTTTTATCTCAATATTAATATTTTAGTGATGTATCTTATTTTGGTGGAATATTTAGTAGGTAATTTCTTATTTTTATCTCAATATTAATATTTTAGTGATGTATCTCTCTTGCATCATTTTAGTGTTAAAATAGAATTGGTGAAGGGCTAAAATAGAATTAAGGTAGGTTCAACAGTTAATTTACAAAAATAAAATGTTAAAAAGTTCTAAAAATAGCATGTTAGTGTCACATGTAAATTTTTAGGGGAGCACTCTCACTCACATTTGCATAATAAATATATTAAAAAGCAAATTTAAAAACTTCAGTGTATATAAGTGCTGCAAAAAACAAATAAGGGTATATAAGCGCGAAATAGGATAAACTATAAGGTGTTTCAAATGCTGATTAGCCTTTATGTTATCCTGAAGTGACTTGAAATTGATAAATATTAGATGTGCAACTTCACCAGATTTCCTTTCTAAATCCAAATCACAGCAAGTCCACTGGCTCTTGATGCCAATCTACAAAGATACAACTATTAACGTAGGTTAGTGGAAGAAATTTCTTGTTGCCTTCCCAAAAGTTTAGGTCAAAAGGTTTTGTTGTTGGCTATGTGTGCATTTTCACAGTTTTTGAAGGATGATCGCTTAAGGTCATCTGTTAAAGGACCATAAGTTTAAAACATGATCAGTTAAGATCATTCTCTAGAGTTGTGGAAATTTGGAAGTACATAATTTTACCTTATTTTATTTTTTTGAGGATGTGTACGGGTCTGTCTAACTAGTCTGTTACTTTCTCTAGATATGAGCTTAAAGGTCATGGTAAATGCTACTTCTTGGTCTAGTTTCATTTCATTCAATTAATTAGACTTGTGGGTTTGCGGCTCATGCTTATTTTGGTGGAATATTTAGTAGGTGTATTATTTTTATCTCAATATTAATATTCCACTGATGTATCTTTCTTGCCACTTTTAGGGTCTTTGTGATGCCATCAAGAATGTGCATCAACCCAATACACAATAAGAAGGGAATTCTCCATCACTCAACTGACGGAAGTTTAGATGAAGGGTAGTCTCTTCTTCCCTTATGCATGGGTTGTGAATAATAAGTAAAAGTTTTCAATTTTGTACTTCTTAAATTTGCTTTTTGTTGGAAATGATTCCATAATTGGTTGATCAAGTCTGTTGTCCATAACTTAAATTAGTTTGTCCTTTTGCTTTATGGCCAACTTGGTTAATTTGGATGTTTTAGGGGGAGTTTAGAAGTTCCTGGATTGATGCCAGGGATAAGTTACTGGAATTTGATTCAATGTTTTCTTTGTGCATATCTTTTCCTTCAGAGATTAATGCAATTCTCTACGGATTAATCATGTCAGGTCTACCTTCATAGCTTAATTCTTCTCTTTTATAAGGTCTCTAAAGGAAAGTCCAGAGTCCACCCTTGTGTAGCTGGTATTTTAGGTTTTTTAGAAAGGTTTCTCATCAGTTATATGTGGGGAAACCCGGTAAAAACTCACACAGGGAATCATCGGCATTGGTTTGTCACTGAATCAGCTGTGCGTGCACATTCCTATTTACAAATATCCTTTTTAAAGAAAACAATGGACTTTTATTTTAAGTGTGTATTTCAAGAATTTCTAGAATTGTGATTAATTTTATTTATGACACCAGAAATTGGTATTTGGTGGATGTGATTAAACAGCATAACCAATAAGGTATGTTATGTTTTTTCATCTTTCTACTCATAAGCTTCTCAGTAGGTTTTATGGCAAGGCTGCCCCTCTTACTTGTAGTTTCCTTAGATGGAAACTTAAGAATAACTCAAAAGGTTGATATCAACTACTAAGGTTGTTGACCTTGATAATTTCATGAAAACTGCCATAGGGCCTTAACAATGTGAATTTATGCTTGGTATGGAAACAATTTTATGATAAGATATTTAGATATGGATATAATGTCTCTGTTTAGATTCAGCACTCAGAACAGGCATGATTCTTTACATTGTTTAGGCACGAAAATATTAGTTAGAATTTACAAACTGAGAGGATTTGACAAGGAAAAGAATGCAGAAAGGGAGTTTGTGTCACCATGAAATTGATTCAGAGAAATAGATTGGTTATTAACAGGCAGAAGATTGGCATCTGCTAGAAATAGGTATTACACTAAAATTATAGTGCATCTAAGGCATGGTGGGATTCAGCCAAATTATGGGTCTTGTTAGAGGCTGGCGCTTATAGGCAAACATCCTATTAATTCATCAAATGTATGTAATGCTACAAAAGCCCAAGGTTTTCAAGTTGATAGGCTGTCTTTTTGGACCTTTCTTCTCCTCACCTGTTATATTTCCTTTCTTCTTATTCTTCTTATTTTCCAGTTTTCTTTGTTTTTCCTTTTCTCTTCATCTTCTGCATCTAGCAACATATTGTAATAACACTATGTGATGTCTCCCACCACAACTCAAGAAAAAACAATTGGCATATTCAATTTTTAGCGAAGACCTTAATAACATTTCCAGCATGAAACTCTGAATTTTTCTGGTTGCTGAGTACAGAACCAATTTCTTATGGACACTTGGCATAAGATTCCTAATCAAGGTTTTTATGTCTTATGTAAACTTCATAAACAACTTGTAAGTGTGATTAGGCGAGGTCATCCATCAAATGTGTGAACAAATTGTTCTTGCACATCTATCCTTATATGGGCGGTTACATGCACCTAGTCTTGCAGGATCCAAGTTCTTGTACGATGGACTCTTTGTATGACATGGATCTCATTTCTGAAACCATACCTGTAATTCTGGACAATTCGAAGACATGGCATCGAGTAATATCAACAAGTATGAAGTTAGGAAAGATGGGGGTGGCACACGTGCAAGGTTTCAGCAGAGTCGACCTGAAAGACAGTAATCTCTACTCAAATGTTTTATTAATAAATCGCACTGCAAGTCCTCTTTCCTGGTAAAGTATATGTAAAATTGAGTGCTTCATGCATTTTCAAGCGAGCAAGTTTTCTTTCTGGATGAAAATGCCTTTATGGATGAAAGTGAATAATTTTTCTAGGTAAGCGCTTGTCTTGATCATGATAACCGTCCAGGTTTATGGAATGCAAGGGTCGGAACAATCACAGTTCAGTTTTGCTCCCATATTCATTCCTCCCATCAATGGCAGCCAAACAGCTAAGAGTTGCAGCGGATAAGGTAAGGTCTCTCACCAACTTGTCCAGATCAAGTCAAAAGTTCAGTCCAAAAGTTTGTTTTCATTTGCATATTTTTACCTTGTAAGATAGTAACATTCCTATATCACTATGTCCTTGTGTTTTTCAATTGCCTGTTAATGTAATCTGATTTTTTTTTCCCACGCTGAACTTCTGCTTTTGCAGACTGTTCCCTTGAGCTTTCTAATTTTTCAGATTGAACAATTCTCTCTAGCAATTTGAACTTGTATGATAAAATATGTATATACTAGACTACTATGTAATTATGTATACAATGTTTTCTCTAATACTAGGTAATAAACATATATAACGAGACACATTTAAATTCTAATTTTCTATAATACTTCCCTCCAGTTCATTCTAGTTTCAAGTAATCATCTGCGTTATCTACACCTTTAAAGACACCACTTTCTGTTTACTTTGAGTTTCATTAACATCTGTAGATAATTCCAATAAGAAATGGAGATTTGTTTATTAGTGATACTTTCTAGTGAGGAGTTTACATGGAATCTAGTAATATTAGGGAAACTTTTAATCTAAATGATTATAAACATAAAAGAGATCTATTTATTTCTAAAATGAGTACAGTGTTCCTGAGTAAGTGAGAGGTGAACATGAAAAAAAAGAGGCTCAAAACTGATATTTTCTAGAGATTATGTATACTAACTAGTAGTATTTCCAGGAGACATTTGGTGTTGTGATTCATGGGTCTTGAAAACTATCTGAACAGATTAAAGAACTTCTTGGTGATTATGATGCCATACATGTACGCCGTGGGGATATTTTAAAGACGAGGAAAGATGGACATGGTGTTGAAAGGACTCTTCATCCTCATCTGGACAGAGATACACGGCCTGAATTTATTCAACTGAGAATATCAAAATGGATTCCGCCAGGACGTACTCTTTTCATTGCTTCAAATGAGAGATCACCTGGCTTCTTTTCGCCTCTATCTGCCAGGTATATCTTTTGCTGAAGACTTGCTAATTAGCAACTTTTCTAACCGAAAGAGT